ATTCAAATGTCTTGTGTCAGTTTATCGTTTAAAATGGTGACTTTGTGTGCGTATCCTGGATGTTTAAATCTTTCGAAACCTAACTTCCGCCTACGTCAAGCGTGACTTTTTCAACGTAATTACGTTTTACGTGAAGTCATGGACGCGCATCGCAGAGCAGTGCAATGCGCGCATTTTTGTTTATAAAGCATATACTTTTTTGTTTTAGAAAACGACCAATCGTTTTGCTAGATAAGACCCTTATTCCTCGTCTGGTATCATGTAGAGCCCTTTGAAGCTGCACTGAAACTAATTTTGACCTTCAACCGTTTGGTAGCCGTTGAAGTTCACTATAAGGAGAATAATCCTGGAATGTTTTCATCAAAAGCCTTAATTTCTTTTCGACTGAAGAAAGAAAGACGTAAACATCTTGGATGACATGGGGGTCAATTTTACAATTTTAATTTGAAAGTGAACTAATCCTTTAAGTAAACGGATTACTTCATAAGAAGTGCATGGCTGTACAACCCTCTACGCACACCTTGGCAATATAATCGCCATTGGCTAGTAAACCGATCAAGCAACTCCACACTGATCTCATACTGACACCCACAATCAAAGCGTGGGGCATACCTGCAGATAACACATCCCATAAATGTGCTTTCATAATAGAACCTGATTTTTAAGTAACCCTGGTACTGCATTTAAAGGGACAGTTCTCCCAAAAATGATCATTCTGTCATCATTACTGTGGAACACAAAAGAAGACTTTCTGAAAGTCAACGGGGTCCAAAAAATACTGGAGCACATTGACTTAAAAAAAAAAGACATTCACCACCTAAGACAGAGGAGCAATTTGAGCAAACACTCACCAGTCAGATATTTTGATACGAGGTTGTAGTTGATCCATGAAAGCATCACTGTAGCCTTCTTTCTTCAAATCTATCAGCTGTTGCTTCATACATAACCTGAGGACAAAGTTTATCTGTGATTCATGTGTGGATTGGCTTGATGATTGATTGATAATCATATATTGACAAATAAATAAGCTCAAAACTTTGTTACAAGATCTAAATTATCAAATGTACCCATGAGAAGTTACAAAACATTTTGTGACCGTCTCATCCGGAAATGGTTTCCTATTTTTCTCTGCCACCCAGCGGTCACCTCCATTCTGTACAATCTTCCATCCTTGAAGTTTATCTAAAAAGAACATCAGAGAAGCAAAAATTCACACAATGACACTTGTTCGAACTTATCTATGTGAATCAGGGTTATTATTAACTAAAACTCAAATTTAAACCATAAAAAAAATATCACTTGAAATATAATAAACGTTAACTGAAATAAAATATAAATTAAAAACTCATTTTATTTCAGCTACTTGCCAAGGCAACATTTCTCATTTTCCTTTAGTACTAAAATAACAAACTAAAACTGAAATAACAATTAATAACTAAAAATATAAAACATTTTTTATAGTATATCAGTGATACTGATGTGAATCACCTTCTGCTCTGGGATTCTTGAGCAAGTTACATCGTTTCTTAGTTAAGAAGTAAAACTGGCGCCAGTTGTTTGGTGGTCTGGAAACATCTTGTGGCTGGATCCCCTCTCTCCGACAGCGCTCTCTCCAGTGTGCAGCACTGTCCACCAGCTCCTTCCACTCATGACACACCAGACGACAGACTCGCACCACCTGATGAGCAGGCAGATTCAGTAGGATCTCCTCAACCACAGCTAGAGGAACAGCTGAACGCAGACCTGAGCACTGACAGAGGATGAAAGATTCATTTCTAATCCTGTTGGAAAATCCAGCTCTGGAACATGGTTGCTGGTTTTTAGCTGGTTATCAACTATAATCTTCCAAAACCCAGTTTGACCACTTTAAGCTGGCAAATGGTTTATTGCCAGTCTACCAGCTTGAACCTCCTAGAAACCCGTTACCATGTTCTGCTGGGGGAGGCAACAAACAAACAAACAAAAACAGCCGGTCTTAGCTGGTTTAAGGTGGACTCCCAGCCTGACCAGCTAAAGAAGTGGTCAAAACCACTCTAAAAACAGCCTGCAAACCAGCTATGACCAGGCTAGAAGAGCAGCTAGAGCAAACCAAATACCAGTTTCAGCTGGGATTTTTTCTTTTCACATCTATCATCTTAAAATGGATTTTCCAGCAGAAAAGAAAGTCTATTTCTGCATTTGGGCCTATGTCTGGGCCAGTTTGATGTGTTAATTCTCTCAAATCAACACTAAGCAACTTACTGAGTCTAATCTGGGTTTCCTTCAAGCAACATTAATGTTCCCGCTCTCTCCTGACCTATTCTTGTTTTTTGATATGGCATTTGTCTTTTATAAGACACTTGTGCGAGTCTGGACATACGGGTGTGCAAACCCGGAAGTTACGTCCCTCAGTCTGTCGAAGCTACACTTATCCAACTGAAACCCAAACAGTAGTAGCTATTTCGCATTAGTTACAGTCTCAGTCAGACTCAGTCATCGTTCTTTTAAACAGCGATAACGACACTTATTGTGGCAGCACACTAATCTGCTTCTGGAAAACTTGAATATGTCTGGCAGTGAAGCGTCTTGAAGGTTTACTTCAAGCAGATCCGTTATATATGTTCTTCTTTCCGATTTAGATATCGTATTAAGCCACACGTACCATGATTCTGGTCAGAATGCAAATATATTCTTTAGGATTTACATATTTACCGAGACCCAAATCGAAAGTACTGATGTGGGAAGCTTGCGTTTAGCCTATGTCATGGCTCCTCCTACAACACTGACGAACGCAATATGATGACACGTCACGGAGAAGTGCATTACTGTACCAGACAGGTTTTATTACCATCGTGAAAAGTTGTTTGTGTACGTGTACTGTATTCACGCCAGCTAACAAAAAATAGTCTAAGAATTATCTTGGAACGTTTTGATAACGTTTAGATGAAGAATATGAACAATGTATAAATAAAGTTTTTTTCTAACGTTTTGATATTAAAGACTAATTAAGACCACGATACTGCATGTAAGTGATGCTATGTTAAACACTGAAGCTTTGAAACTTTTAAGCATTTAGTAATAATAAAAAAAGAATTCAAAATGAAGCTAAATAACTGTTGAAGGTTAAAAGAGACAAGTATTTAAAAAGACCTATTATTGTACACTTGAGGTCTTTGTTTAAGCTGCACCAGTACAGAAAACATTACCTGCAGCAAATAATCAAGGTTCCCTACTGATTACAAATTATAGCTGAAAATGAAATGACCACAAGGTGCAGTTCATTTTAAAGTGTTGCAATAAGATTGCATGTTGAAAGCAGTTAATGAGATGAGTTATTATATCTTGTTTTTATGTATCTGCTCTATATATTAATTTTGCATTTGTAACAGTTGTAAAAGAATGTAAGAAATGTATAGTGGAAAGGAAGCGATTGAAGCTGTACGGGCTTTTGCGACCTTTGCAAACATTTCCAATAATTGAAGCCATAGTAAAATTACCATATTTACAGAAGTACGTCACGTGTTTCCTTCATTCTGCAGCCAGAAGTAACTGATAACGTGGTGTCTCCATGAAGATAGTTTTATATAAGAGCTCACCTCTGCAGACATTACTCCAAACAAATAATTAATTTTATTCATTGTTTTTATTGACATGCATAGATATAAGATATGTGTACAGAAAAAACATAAAAATATTTAAAAAAAGAATAAAGAAAATTAAGAGCAATAATTCTTCAGCAAATTATACTTAAACAAATCAAACAACTCTGACCAGTGCTTATTAAAATGATTTTAATTCATTTCTAAACGATATAAAAATGTGATGTGAGAAACCTACATTTTTTTAATAAAATGTTTTGTTGAAATAATATTTTTCGGAAAGCACATAGCCATTCATATTTGTTCATATTATATTTTATATCTTAAAATGAGAGTGAGAAAGATCATTCACTTTATCAAATGTGACCCTGGACCACAAAACCAGTCATAAGGGTCAATTTTTTTTAAATTGAGATTTATATGTCATCTGAAAGCTGAATAAATAAGCTTTCCATTAATGTATGGTTTGTTAGGACAATATTTGGCCGAGATACAACTAGGCCTATTTGAAAATCTGGAATCTGAGGGTATTTTTTTAAAATTGAGATTTATATGTCATCTGAAAGCTGAATAAATAAGCTTTCCATTAATGTATGGTTTGTTAGGACAATATTTGGCCGAGATACAACTAGGCCTATTTGAAAATCTGGAATCTGAGGGTGCAAAAAATTTGAAATACTGAGAAAATCGCCTTTAAAGTTGTCCAAATGAAGTTCAAAACAACTTGGAAATAGCGTTACTGAGTTTCTGAAGAAAATGTAACATGTTTTTACTATAGTAAATATAGTTTAACGATATTGTAATTAACGTTAAACAATAGCAGCCACAAATTTACCATGGTCTGAGAGTCCATGAAATGTACTTTAATATCATAAACCATAAAATGTAGTCAGCTTTCTACTATGGTTCATTTTCATAATAGGTAAACACAGGTCACAAGTTAACACGGTCACATTTCCTTGATTCAGCCAGCCGCACAATGTGACGCCGAGAGTAAAATCCTGTCTTCAATCTAGAAATCTGCGGCTGAACCGGAACCAGTGTAGTTCGGTAGCTCAGTGGTTCATTACTAGCGTCTTTTAGCGCGTGTTCGAAACCCGTACCAAACAGACTTTTTTGTTTATTTTCCGTACTTAAGCCGCTACGGGCGATCATACCAATAATTTGTAATCTTTACAAGAGTACCAAAATCATGTAATGAGCAACTGTGCGTTTATTCGACAGCTTAATATCACGTCAGTTTGTGCTTTCAGAATCGGCGAATCTGCTGCGGTCGTTCCATCACATCCGGAGCTGAGACCTGAACCAGGAAGTTGGTCACCAGTTAAACCGTAACACCTGTAACAGAAGGCTACTTTCGGTTTGGGATCTCGTTAAACATGTGATTATAAGGATTAATTATATTCTGATTCAGCGAGTTTGGAATCTAGAATGCTACTGTGTGTAACTAATGCGATATCTAAACCGAAAAGAAGTACATATAACAGATCTGCTGAAGTGAGCCGTCGGTGCTCCACTGCTAGACTATTCCAGGTTCATTCAATGCTGCCGCATTAAGAGTCGTTATCACTGGTTAGAAGAACGTTCTTTGGAATATAATTAATGCGAAGGTAGCTAGGTTATTTGTGTTTCAGTTTTTTACTGCAACATCGTCAGACTATGAGACATAACCTACGTTTCCACCAGTAGGTCCAGACGCGCAAGAGTGACTTATAAAGCAAATATAATATCAAAAAAAAAATGGGCCAGTCAGAGAGCGGACACTTTCATGTTGCTTCGAGGGACTTTAAACCCAGATCAGACTCAGTAAGTTGTTGAGCTCTTTGGTTTCCGTTACAGTCGGTTGTTATAGCATTAAATCAAATGCTAGTCGAAATGGACTGACTTGCCATATGACAGGTAAGTTAGATCATCTTGGACCAGCATTAAGCCAGATGGTCATGCCATGTTACAAAGGTCAGGGTGGAACATGGTATAGCTGATGACCAGCTAAAAACCAGCAACCATGTTCCAGAGCTGGATTTTCCAACAGGATTAGAAATTAATCTTTCATCCTCTGTCAGTGCTCAGGTCTGCGTTCAGCTGTTCCTCTAGCTGTGGTTGAGGAGATCCTTCAGGTGGTGCGAGTCTGTCGTCTGGTGTGTCATGAGTGGAAGGAGCTGGTGGACAGTGCTGCACACTGGAGAGAGCGCTGTCGGAGAGAGGGGATCCAGCCACAAGATGTTTCCAGACCACCAGTCAACTGGCGCCAGTTTTACTTCTTAACCAAGAAACGATGTAACTTGCTCAAGAATCCCAGAGCAGAAGGTGAGCCACTGGACAGAAAATATTAAATATTTTTAATAAAGCAGTATGCTTCATATTCTGGACTGCATTTCCCAGAAGCATCGTCAACCTAAGTTGATAATTGAAGCCATTGGTGGCAATAGTTTTTACTATCTATAGGCTTTGATGCTTTTGGGTATCACAGTGGTAGAATTTTGCACTGTGTTGATATTCCTCAAGCATTTTATTTTTCATCTTCACGTGTTCCAGACTCTTTGTTTTGCAGTTATAGAATATCCAGTTTTCATACTGTGGATTTTAATGTAAACAATTTGGTGGCTTGACATAAGGTGCATATAGAAAAAAAAGGTGTAAGAAAGTGCCAAATTTAAAAAAAATTCCCCTTAATTTAGAGTTGATTATTTCTGGTGGGGGACCAGATAGCAAGCTGAAATTTTCACAGATACATGTCCTCGATAGCATTCTGCTGTAAAATTTGAGTATGTGATTCTGCTGGTTACAGAGCTAGAGCTAGTAAAAATCTGGGGAAAAGCCTACAGGATTCATGTATTGTTAGATATGAATGTAGTATAAGCATAACAAATAATACAAATTTAACAGTATTTTAGATTAATTATGTTTATGATTGACACACCATAGCTTTTGTTTGTTAATGAGGTCTAAAACAGTGGTTTTCATGAAGGGGGCTAGGGACCACGAGGGGGCCTCGGCAAACATCCAAATGTTAAAAAAATTCACTTTTTCACGCTTTCTCAACCCCATTAAAAAGAAAACCCTAAAAATGTTCTGCATGCATGCTATACTTAAAGGGTTAGTTCACCCAAAAATGAAAATTAGTCCATAAATTACTCACCCTCAAGTCATCCTAGGTGTATATGACTTTCTTATTTCAGACGAATCCAGTCGGAGGTATATTAAAAATTGTCTTTGATCTTTCAAGCTGTTTAATGGCACTCAGCGGGTGTTGCATTGCTTCAGTCCAAAAGAAGTGAAATAAAAAGTGCCCATCCATAAAAAAAGTGTCTCACACGGCTCCGGGGGGTGAACAAAGGCCTTATGTAGCGAATCGATGCGTTTTTGTAAGAAAAATGTCCATATTCAAAACGTAATAATCACTTTAATGTAGCTTGCGCCAACAGTTGTACACAGAAGCAGTTCCGGGCGGATTACGTATGAGTTCAGTGTTGCGCATGCGCCGGCGAGTTTCGTGAAAACCAACGTTTGTTTACAGGATCAAAGGAAGCAAAGTTTCCTTACTTTAGCAAAGGAAAACCAGTCTCCTCTTGGCTTATATCGAAATCCTCCGACATTCTTCTTTACAAATCCTCGTTTTGTACTTCTAATTCGTGACCGTTGTTTTGTTTTGATCTCTCCGCTGCGCTTCCGCCACTTCTGAGCGGCGCGTGCGCAACACCGAACTTATACGTTAATAACGTTATAACTTAACTTTTAATATACCTCCGACTGGATTCGTCTGAAAGAAGAAAGTCATATACACCTAGGATGACTTGAGGGTAATTTATGGGCTAATTTAAATTTTTGGGTGAACTAACCCTTTAACTAGGACCCCCTAAAAAGATTTAGACTACATTTTAAATTACATTTGACCTTAAATTATAAGTCTTAAGAACAACAATGTGCAGATGTTGTGGGCCATGATGGCCACTGTGGTTAAACCACATAAAATAAAATAAAAATATTGGTTTTGCAACACCAAAATACAGAGGTAATGGTCAAGCAGCGTTCATTGGACCGCTTGAGATGAAATGACCCTAAATTCACTTAATATTTAAACAATTAATTTTAACACTTCGTTTGCCACCTTATTCCCTTCTGAAAATGCAATGCCAGTGTCACTTGCTCAATTTATATAATGTGCTCCTCTGCTGGTCTGATTAGAGGAGTTCAGTGGATGGAAGATTGTACAGAATGGTGGTGACTGCTGGACAGTAGAAGATAATTCTGTAGAAATCCCAAATTTCACAGTCGCAAAATACTTTGTCACCTCTTACTGGTAAGCTTGAAATGACTTATTCTTCAGCTGAAAAGTCAAACCTAAATAAATGTATTTTAAAATGCTTTTTTATTCAGTTTAGCTAAAAGGACAATAGCGAGGCCGCCTTTGTCACCCATAAACTTTGTCCTCAGGTTATGTATGAAGCAACAGCTGATTGATTTGAAGAAAGAAGGCTACAGCGCTGCTTTCATGGATCAACTACAACCTCATATCAAAATATCTGACTGGTGAGCGTTTGCTCAAACTCAAATTTTACAGTATCAGTGGTTCCTTTATTATACCAGTTAATAAAGTTTATTTTGCGAATGTTTTGTCTGGTGCAGGTACGCCCCGCGCTGCGATTGTGGGAGCATGTATCAGATCTGTGTAGAGTTGCTTGATCAGAAGAAGAAACCCATCAATACCTTTGAGCCTGAACCAGTTTTCTTTCCACAGTGGAACGATCAGCAGTGGTGTGAAGTGAGTAGAATAAAATACAATCAGCTGAACCTGATAAAAATAACTGTCATTCTCACCAAATATACATTTTTACAATTTCAGATGACACATGTCTTTAAGGATTATGGACCTGGGGTTCGGTTTATCCGTTTCACTCATGGTGGGCGTTCTCTTTTTGAACGAGGCCCTCTCAAATGAAGACGCGTTTACAACTGGCATGTCTAGCTCAGGAGCGACACTGGAAAATTAGATTGTGACTGAGAACGCGTTACTGAGCACATCCACCCATTTACCGTGAAAACTTAAAACAGGAAACGGAAGCTGATGCTGCTGCAAATGAAGCGAAAGCGGCCTTCCAACAGCAGCCATTCCTCTACATAGGACATCTATGTAGACACTCAACACATACTGCGATCCCTTACTTCTCTTCTAAATATCGTAAAATAGGACTGAAGATCTACTTACACAGCGGAAGACTTTGCATGACTGTCCATCCAAAATAGGCTTGTCTTTGCGTTTCAAAATAAAAGTCGTTTTGTGTCTCTAATTTGGTACGTTAATAACTCGTTTAAGACTTTTTTAAATACTAAAAAAATGATACTAAAATGCTAAAAAAAATAAGCTGAAATATCAACATAATTACAACTTATTATAGTAAATGTGATGTAGATAAAAAAATTGTGCATTGTATAATAATTATGGACATAAAAGCTACCAAGTGGCAAAATGCTTCAGATAATTAAAATGTGGGAGCAAAGATGTCATGTGGTGAATTACTGTTTTGTGACATTTGATCATTTTCTTTACCTTAGACAGTAGTAATTTTGGTACTTCACAGAGCATTGCACATTCATTTTGCTCATCATGTTTATTCATTTTGCTCAATCCCACATCAAATTTGTTACTCCATTTGTAGCTAAACATGACTGCAAATTGAGAAAATGACATTTTTAAAAAGTGACGTGATTTGACGCAACATTCAATAAAATGGAATCAACCTTCTATAGTTTCCCAGCATACATTATTCCAAACAATTCTTCAGTTAGTCATATTTTAGTTTAAAAATAAGGGTAAAACCATTAAAAGCAACAAATTCTCATGTCCGAGTCGATTCACACTGACAGAAAAAGATAAAAAATCATGTCTGTTCATTTCAAGGGGACCTCGTCACAAGCAAAGTAATCCTTCAGTGGTGCTAAAAGATGTCTTATGACAGGGACGCTCCAGGACTTCCCCAGCACTCTCTGCCTCTGCAAACGCCCCATATTTTTCACATCCGTGTAATGCTTCGGAAATCCAAATATTCTGTGAAAGTGTGAGAATCATCATAAATAAAATACATATTTGTATTTAAATGTTTATTTACAGCTAAGAGCAGAAGTAAAACTTACTTCTCCATTTCTGTGATCCATATATTGTCATCTTTTCCATTCATGGTGATGGGGAAATGTGCATCATTGGTGCCCTGCTTCAGTGAGTTTGGTCGTGTGGTGATAGTGCGAACTTTTTCATACTGCAAAACAGTACAAATTTCAGTTTGTACCAAAACATACCCAGTTTCAGAACTCATCACTAGTGAACTATGTACTGCATATCTTTGGTTAGAAGCTCATGACAGACCTTTGCAGTGCGGCCAGGCTCCAGACATTCCTGAAGCCGGAGTTTATCATTCTGGGATGCTATGATAGGTCTGGTCAAAACAGAATAAAATGGATGATGTTTAATTTACACTGTTGAGTGTATTTTCCAGGTAAAAAACAAAAAAAAACAAGTGTGTTATTCATATGAATATAACTGACACACACCTGTTCATGCCAGGTATGTTCCCCCAGAAGTATCTTGCTCTGTGAGCTGGACTCACTTTCACAGCATCAACAAGCACAGGGTTACACTAAAAACAAACCACACAGACTTACTACATCGTGAGACTAAAACATTTGTGTGAATCGTGATCCCAAGATTCAAGAAAAAATATATAGAATGTAAGAGCTTTTTAAAATTGACCATAAACTGCTGAGAGTATTTATCAAAACGTCTATGAAACAAGAAGAACACTCACTTCCAGAAAGCGGCAAATGTCAGCTTTAACCTGGGTTTGCATGAACACCACGTTCTCAAACAGCCAGAAGAACGGCTGTGGGTCATCCTCCTTCGGCTTCATAACATTCAGAAGCCGATAATATTCAAAAAAGAGCCGCCCTGTGCCCTCTGCAGAGAGTAAAGAGGATCTCAGAGGCAATGAATGATGCTAACTGTTACCTGTTTTGACATGAGATCAAGCGCTAGCTGAGCACACCCAGCAGTAGCATGTTCAACAAAACTTTAAATCTGATGTGTGAATCATGTACTAGATTTCAGGATCCAGACTTACCAAACAAGCCTTTCCGAGCAGGATTGACTATGGACAAGTCATTACAAGGACTTCCACCAATGAGAAGATCAAACGGGCCCCATTTGTCAATCTGAACAAAGAAAGAGAATAAATTCAATCAGCAGACTGCTGAGGAGTCTTCTTCAGATGTGTAAATAAATCTCAGTACATGTGCAGAGAGGTTTTACCATTTAAAGGGTTACATCAACCCAAAATGAAAATCCTGTTATCATTTACTCACCCTCATGTTGTTCCAAACCCAAAAGAAATTTGTTTGTGTTCGGAAACACAAATGAAGATACTTTTAATAAAATCTCAGATTCTGTCCCTCCATTGAAAGTATATTCACTCAAAACTCTGACGCTTCAATACGTTCACAAACAGATCAAAAAAGAAATCCATATGAATTAAGCGGTTTAATCCAAGTCTTTTGAAGAGATATGATCACTTTATAAGATGAATAATTTAATTTAGGCTTTTGTTCACATAAAAACATTGATCAATGAACAATGTTTACAGCATTTAAATCAGGTGACTGAAGCTAAAACAGGCTTGCTTGATGCGTGAGAACAAATGAGGTTTGGTCTCGCTTGTCAAGCAGGAATGGTTGAGCTTCTGTTTATGTTCACTGATCAATGATTATATGTGAATAAAAGCCTAAATGAAATCTGTTCATCATATAAAATGATTGCGCCTCTTCAAAAGACTTGGATTAAACCTCTTCATTCATATGGATTTATTTTTGATCTCTTTACAAACATTTTGAAGCATCAGAATTTTGGGTGAAGAGACTGTCAATCGAGGAACAGAAATTAATAAAAATAAAAATATTAATCAACCAAAGACCAAAAATCTTGTGGTTTTAGAATGACACGAGGGTCAGTAAATGATGACAATTTTCATTTTGGGGTAAACTAACACTTTAAAGACAAGGGGAAAAAAACAAGACGACAAAAAATTATTTTGCAACCATACATGCTGTTTCGTAATGTTTTTAACATCTTCCACATGAGTGATTTTTCCATCATGGTTGACCATGGAAATGGTAATGGACTCTTCATCAACTTCTGAGGCCACATATTTTTCCACTTTGAAGCCAAGATCCCTCAAGACAAGGTATCCTGAAACATAAAAATGCATTTAAATGAGTCATATAACCAGTACAAGAACACTATAATAAGTGTGTATTAAACTAAAGTGGTTGAGGAATACGGGCAGTTTTACCTGTGGCTATACCATCAAATAAAGAAAGCACTCTGATTGGACGTCGCTGGTTAGCAGGGATTGATGGGTAAACACGATGGGGCTCCTGAGGAGAACAAATGTCATTGGTCGAATCAATTCAAACACAAATAAGGAAGATCATCCAATATTTTTACAAGATGATGAACAATATGAAACAAGCACTAACAAACTCCATAGCGCTGTTGTTGGCAAAGAATTCCTGCACTCGGATGCTCCAGTCATTCCTGGGCTTCAAAGCTCGAGAGCTGCTCTCAGGTGCACACAGGTAACACGTCCATGGGTCCACATTTTTCAGCCGGTCAAATGTGCCCTCACCCACCAGGATATCCAGACAGTCCACACAGTAGGAGCTAGGGAAGCGTAAAAGACCAAGTTCAACTATACACAAGTATAGGTCTAAAAACACCAGTGGAAATACTAAATACATACATTGCATTCAAGCTACACATTTTATCAGATTTTGCTTTCCCTGGGAATCAAACCCATGACCTTGTATCAACATTACCATAAACACTCACCGACAACAGTTGTCATGGCCACACAGAATGACCTCCATGCCAGAACAGCAGACGGTGCAGTACGACTGATAACCATCTTCATCATATCTGTACAGCGTCTCCGTGAAATTATACTACATGTGACAAACAGACACATCACTGAAGGATTGTATTGTGTTGTATGACTGTATACTTGATTTTATGCAACATTTAGTAACAGCTGTAGCTGGTATAGCCACTGTGTGGAGAGAACTACAGCTGTGTAACTGTATTTACTACCTTGCAGTTTGAACACAGCATTCCTTCGAATAGTGGGTGGATGATTTCGACAGGTGTACTCCCACATGATAAGCAGAACTCTGAGAAGGAGGAGAAATGAATTTAGGATGACCTTCACTCATTATCAACATTTACGGCAGTGTTTATGAAAGGGTTTCTGACCTTGAATGTTTCTCTTGTTTTCCAGAAATGCATGCACCATTTGATCTGTCAAAACATTTCAATAAACACCAGGTTACTTAGGGTTTTTTTCTTCCTTTGCCATCACAATTTTAATAGCAACAGTAAATATTAATGATGTACTTACGTCTTTTTTGGCTGTTCTGTCTGGACTCGATATGTACGCTTGGGGTAATATTTTGATGCTTATTCCGCTGTGGTTTTTGTTTTCTACGGGTCTTCACAGTCTGCCAGGATCTCTGATTCAATTCTGAATACATGCGTTTTCTATAAACATCGGCTGTCCCAAGGTCTATCGAGCCACTGTGCAGGTCCAGGGATTCAGGGAGTTTACTGAGAGACACAGTTAATTTAAATAACTTTCCTGTAGAGTCTTTGTGCTTTCTCATGTTCCTATTCACTGATCGAGGCATACAAATCTTGTCTAAGGAAGAAAGAGAGATATAAATACATAGTAAATTAATACAGCATTTGATACTACATGCTACACATTGGAATAAAGCACCGAGGTTAAAGAGCGCCCTCCGGTGCTTGTTGAATACCATTGCATCCTGATTGAGATTGAAGTCCTTCTGGACCCAATGGTTCAAAGCCTCCAAAGGCCCAGTCCAACATGACTCTAAGCAGTTCATCCTTAGAGTCTGTCTCAGGAGAAAAAAACATTCGACTGCGTCTGGAGGCCACCTACACACACACATGAACAATCACACAATGAGAGGCAAATATGTTTCTGTTTTGTACTAACATCTGGAAGTTTTTTTTAAACCTTTAAAGGTTAAGTAATTTCTGTGCCACTAGCATAACCAATACGAATTGCGAACAAATGTTTTCCAAAGTGCAAACAAAAAAATATTACCAGTGATATTGAGGGGCAAAATTAGGCTTAGCTTTCCAAAACTAAGTTTTTCCAGACTGTAATATCAGAGTAAATTGCAAACCGCATGAACTACAAAGCACTAATAACAAAATTTATCTTACCTGCAGAGAATTAAAAATTGCATCTTTGTATGCCATTACTGTAGCGAAGGAATTAGAACAGAAGCACTTGGCAAATGAAAAAAAGGGCAGGAGATCGTCTGCTTGGACCTGCAATAGACCATTTGTTATATACACATATTTAAGTAAAAGAATACCCAAAAGCTTGCACATAAGACTCTGCATAGCCATTTTTCTACCTCTGATAGCATCCTGTTCTCAAAGAAAATCACTTTACGCATGGAGCCACAAGGCCTCTTGCTGTCCCAGCTCTGAACCAGTCCAGGCCAAAGACCAAAGCCCTCAATCGGCCCCCAAACCATCTCGCCCACTGTGTAACCATCCTAAAAAGAAAACACAGCACTCGTTGGATGGAGAGTCTAAAGTCTTACTCTCTCTAATTTTTCTGATGTTAAAACACTTTATCCTGTTCCATCTTAAAGAAATAGTTAAAAGCACAGAAACTTCTCACTTCAGCTTTAGATTAATTGCACAGAAAATGTATTTTTATTATAATATTAAAAAAATATATAAATAAAAAAAAAAGTTACCTGGAATTCTGTTTTCTCATTGTTTTGTGTAGAAGACGTATTTTCTTTTCTTTTCTGGCAGAGAAAGCAAAATGTTCAATAAAGATATCCAGAACGAAACTTAAAACAAATGAGACAGACATTTACCGCATAATTCCAT